CAGTGGAAACTGAGAAATTGGGGAAACCGAAATGTGTGTGATGATAATATGAATGGTTAGAAAATGGGCCAATAGTTATTTAATTCAGCATATAATATATCAAATTAAAGCTTTGTCTGTCTAGTTTCCAAAGATTCAAACCACTCACGAATTGGATTTGTATTGAGCAAATTATAGTCAATTTATTATTGACTGTTCAGTGGAAACCAAGAAACAAGGAAAACTGAAATGTGTGTGATGATAAAATGAATGGTTCAACAATGGGTCTACAGTTATCCAAATTTAGTATATAATATATCAAATTAAATTTGGTCTATCTAGTTTTCAAATATTCAAACTGTTCATCAATTGAATTTTTATTGAGCAAGTTATGGTCAATTTACTATTGACTATTCAGCGAAAACCGAGAAACAGGGGAAATCAAAATATGTGTGATGATAAAATGAATGGTTCGACAGTGGGTCTACAGATATCCAAATTTAGCGTATGATATATCAAATTAAAGTGCTATCTATCTAGTTTGGAAATATTCAAACTGTTTGTTTATTAGATTTTTATTAAACAAGGTATGATCAATTTACTACTGATTATTTAATGGAAACCGAGAAACAGGGAAAACTAAAATGTGTGTGATGATAAAATGAATGGTTCAGCAGTGGATCTACAGTTATCCAAATCAGCGTATAATATATTAAATTAAAGCTATTTCTATCTAGTTTCCAAATATTTAAACTGTTTGTCAATTGAATTTGTTTTGTGCAAGTTATGACCAATTTACTACTGACTATTCAGTGAAAACCGAGAAACAGGAGAAACTAAAATGTGTGTGATGATAAAATGAATGGTTCGACAGTAGGTCTACAGTTATCCATATTTAGCGTATAATATATTAAATTAAAGCTCTGTCTATCTAGTTTTCAAATATTCAAATCGTTCGTCAATTGGATTTTTTTTGAGCAAGTTATAGTCAATTCACTACTGACTATTCAGTGGAAACTGAGAAACAGGGAAAACTAAATGTGTGTGATGATAAAATGAATGGTTCGACAGTGGATCTACAATTATCCAAATTCAGCGTATAATATATCAAATTAAATCTCTTTCTATCTAGTTTCTAAATATTCAAACCGTTTGTCAATTCAATTTTTGTTGAGCAAGTTATGGCCAATTTACTACTAATTGTTCAGTGGAAACCGAGAAATGGGGGAAACTGAAATGTGTGTGATGATAAAAGGAATGGTTCTACAGTGGGTCTATATTTATCCAAATTCAGCGTATAATATATTAAAGTCCTGTCTATCTAATTTTTAAAGATTTAAACCACTCATCAATTGGATTTTTATTGAGCAAGTTATGACCAAGTTACTACTGGTTGTTCGGTGAAAAGTGAGAAATGGGAGAAACCAAAATGTGTGTAATTATAAAGTGAATGGCTCGGTAGTGGGTCTATAGTTCCAAATTAAAATATTAAATTAAAGCCCTATCTACCTATTTTCCAAATATTCAAACCTCTAGTCAATTAGAGTTTTATTGAGCAAGTTATAGCCAATTTACTACTGACTGTTCAGTGGAAACTGAGAAACAGAGGAAATTGAAATGTGTATGATGATAAAATGAATGGTTTGGTAGCGTGTCTACAGTTATCCATATTTAGCGTATAATATATTAAATTAAAGCCTTGTCAGTATAGTTTCTAAATATTCGTCAATTGGATTTTTATTGAGCAAGTTATGGTCAATTTACTACTGACTATTAAGTGGAAACTGAGAAACGGGAGAAACCGAAATATGTGTGATGATAAAATAAATGGTTCTGTATTGGGCCTATAGTTATACAAATTCAGCATATAATATATCAAATTAAAGTCTTGTCTGTCTAGTTTTCAAATAATTAAACCGTTTGTCAATTGGATTTTTATTCAGCAAATTATGACCAATTTACTACTAACTGTTCAATGGAAACTGAGAAACGGGAGAAACCGAAATGTGTGTGATGATAAAAGGAATGGTTTGGCAGTGGGTCTACAATTATCTAAATTTAGAATATAATATATCAAATTAAAGCCCTACCTGGCTAGTTTTCAAATATTCAAACCGCTCATCAATTGGATTTTTATTGAGCAAGTTATGATTAATTTACTATTGGCTGTTCAGTGAAAACCGAGAAACAGGGGAAACCGAAATGTGTGTGATGATAAAATGAATGGTTCGGCAATGGATCTACAGTTATCCAAATTTAGGAAATTAAAATATCAAATTAAATCCCTATGTATCTATTTTCCAAATACTCAAACCGCTTATCAATTGGAGTTTTATTGAGTAAGTTATGACCAATTTATTACTAACTATTCAGTGGAAACCGAGAAATAGGGGAAATTGAAATATATGTGATGATAAAATGAATGGTTCGGCAATGGTACTATAATTATCCAAATTTAGTGTATAATATATCAAAGAAAGGCTCTATCTATCTAGTTTCTAAATATTCAATCCGCTCGACAATTGAAGTTTTATTGAGCAAGTTATGACTAATTTGCTATTGACTGTTACAATTCTATAATATAATGAATAATGGTTCGGCATCTGATCTCTTGTAATTCCGTAGTACAATCTTCCTTTGATATATTTATTGCCGTATTTTGTTCAACAACTTGCTTGCAACAATTATGATGAACAACATGAAATAAACTTTTAATATAGTATTAACTAAAAAGTACATTACAATATTACAATTGTCAATGGATAATGTTTGGCAAATGGTCTATTGTAATTGTACTATACAATCTAAATAGCTTTGCATCTTGACTCTTACAATAAAAATAGAATGGTTAGTGACTACAATTATAAAGTACATTCATTAACAAAATTATGATTAAAATGGTTCGACACATGCATCAGTAAATAACAACACAACCATTGATCATAATTGTTCGCCACATAGATTTTTTCAATACAACAGTTGATAAATAAATTGTTTGGAATGGTCTGCCTATATCTTCTTATAACTTGTTATAATTGAATAACAAAATTATTGGTTCAGCAAATTGATCTGACAATTTTGTAGGAGGATGTACGATTCACCATCTGGACTAAAAAAATGAAATAGTCAAAACCATACAATATCTTGCATAGCCTTTTAAAAATAACTATATAGCAAACATGAGAAACAATTGAACAAGAATACGACAATACAATAGCGAATAAATTTCAAGCAATTAAAGAAACGTAGTCAAATGAATACATGACCTTCAACATCACGTAATTTCCAACTATGACAACAAATATTATGTTCCAACCAAAAGTGTAAAACTGCATGAAAACAGAATAAAAGGTTTAACAATAAACTAGAAAAACCAAAAGAAAACAATCACAAATAAGAATTAAAAATTGACTACCTCTCTTTCTTCAGATAAATCATATAACAAACTGTTAATATAAATGCACCCTTGCACATTCAATTAAACAAAATCAATGAATCAAACTAAATTAAAGAGTAAATGACTTTTTGCCACCCAAATAATGACTTAATGACACTTTTCCAGCTACAGACTTTTAAATTACCATTTTACTATCTAAATTTATATTCCGATTCCGGTATCATTACGACCCCACACCATCACCATTCTTTTTCCCGATCATCACTCACCAAAACCTCTCAAACCCAACTCCTATCGACCTTGCCAATCACCGCAAATCGAGCGATTAGGGTTTGTATAGCCGTCGCTCCCAAGTCAAATTCCGATCAATCACAACCACCAAAATCCAACCTTCCACTACCAAAAGACTCATCGGCCTCCCCTCTTCAAAAGCTCTAACAGCCTGGACCAAGTTTATTCTCTGTTCGCCATTGGAATATAAATTTGAATAGTAAAATGGTATTTTAAAAGTCTACGGGTGAGAAAGTGTCATTAAGTCATTATTTGGGTGGGAAAAAGTAGTTCACTCTAAATTAAAACAATAAATATGAATGTGAAGTGTTTATATTTATCCAATTAAACATTAAACAAACGTATAACCATCGAAATATTTAATGTGAATGTGAAGTGTTTCTACAAAACATTGAATGCATGTAGTTATACAAAATAGCATCAAACTAAATTCATCAAAAACAATGAAACATAAAACAATAAATATGAATGTATAGTGTTTATATTTATGCAATCAAACATTAAACAAATGTGTAATCATCAAACATTTAATGTGAATGTGAAATGTTTTTACAAAATATTGAATGTATGTAGTTATACCAATAACCTAGACCAATAACAGGTTGACATGTGTAGTAATTATAATCTAAACCAATAACATGCTGACACTTGTAATAATTATAAAGTCATATGTGATGTTTAAATAGCAATTGCTTCATCATTATATAGATATATAAATATTTTATTAGTTGTTTGTCAAGTCAAATGTCTGATTGTTTCGAATTTAGGTGAACAAATTTGTTTGACTTATTGGTCAATAGATTGGAGCTCTTTGATGGGATTTTTATCTAATCAACTTCTTTAACTGATGTTGATTTATTTATTAAGTAATAGTGTGGTTGGTTGGGGTTTGAAATCAAAACCAAATCAACCTGAATTAATCGTAGAATGATTTATGAACTGCATATTGAGGTTTGACAGAACCAAAAAGTCTTTGGCAGAGGGTTGACTGAGCAGTTGAAAATTTAGGTGATCTAATTTTCATCATCATCTTCAGGTAGGCCATCACCATGAGTGAAATTAGAACAAAATGCCAGGGACGCCATTGTAGGCAGATTAGCTGCCAGAACATGACATATTCACATAGCATCTTTGAAACCCGTAAAAAACTCTTACCCATAACGAGCATTCTTTATTATGATAAGCATTTTTGAGACAAGTTTGAAGTTGCTGAATGACGAATTTTAACATTGACGCAGATGGGCAACTTTACCTACATCCGTCCCTTATCCGTTCGAACCAGAACATCATTGTCCTGGGGAGCTCTACCCAATTGCTTAGCAAATACCAAAACTTAAAATAACTATTGACTTAACATTAAAGAATATCAACAAGTGCAACAGAGTTAAGAGATAGCATGTAAAGTGGTGCCACTGCAATATTCTTTCTCACACAGAATGTGCTTTTCACCTAAAAAATGTTATAAATTGTCACAACCAAGTTTAAAAAGGTTTCAAAACTGATGTTAATTTTTAATTTTTGGACATTGAACATACAACTGGGTCCCTGAGAGTGAAAATTCTTATGACCAAGTTTACATTTGTTCATTCTGAACTTCAATCCTGCTTGTCATCAGCCGTTCCTGCCAGTTTGGATACAGATTCATGTAAGCCAGGTTTAGCTTCCGTCACGACCTGTATGAACAACAGGACTTTAGTATCATTCAAGGTGACTGTAAAACAAACATGCTGAGCAACTTTGAAGAAGAATAATAGATGCACACATCCAAGCTGTCCAGGAGCCATAAATATCACCAACCGAAAAATAGGTGATTTCTCAGTAGTATAGCACACAGCCATGCAAATACATAAAATTGGGATGGCAGTAAGTTCTAAATTTTAATTTTAAGACATGTATATATGTCCTAAGGAAAACAGCAATGAAGGAAAAAGACTGAGCATGAAAGATCAATATACATGCCATTAAACAATATAAGCTCATGAAAAGTCAAAAACTACAGATTAAATATCAACACAACAATAACCATATCCTAAAAAAACTAAACAAAAAAATAACAAGAGAAAGAATCCGAGTTCAAATTCCGTCATTTGCATCCTTAAAGGAGGAGCATTGGAATTAGTTAGAATGTATGTTCTTATGCATAAAACACTCTTGTAATAAAACATATGAATAAAACATGTTTATCTGCTTTTGGATCATACAATTAGCATAACTAATTTCAAGTCTGGTCACCATATATTTTGTAGTAATAGAACAATAATGATGCTGAATAAAGGCAAATAATTACCAATTAGACAGGAAACAAGATTATTGCAACTTATAACCATGCAAGTGACTATTACCATATCCATCGGAATAAACATATTCATTTTGGTTCTTAATGGTTTTAAGCAAAAATAAAATAGAATAGGATTTTGTTAATGTGTGCCTACATGTTAAAGTGTATCTTACCAATAAGAGACTTTAAAAGGACAGGGATATGATAGGAGCCTACTGAATCCAATTGCATCTAATGCCTTGAAAGGACAAACATTACTATTTTTTTTTCCTTTTATTTTATCCTTCTCATTTGTCCCTCTTCATGGAATGCTCTTACGAGCTACAAGTTATTGTACCAAAGCTAAGTTGCTAGTGACCCAATTCACAACTCTAAACCACAATTGTGAAACATTTCAAAAAGTTTGGCTTCATCATAAAAGTCAGGCCACAAAATCCGTTAACTAATTGAACACCAACACCATAAATCAATATACAATCAAATTAAGGTCACTAAGTGCACATCAACCAACGGCCTCGTTTGCACAAAACAAATGTTGCAAAATATTACAACATAAAAGAACACCTTAAACATAATATGTTAGTACTCCACCTATCTCTATAGCTACTTGTAGTATAACAAATACACTATTACAAGATATAAATTTACCCATTGCAAAAATACCATTTCTTGTTAAAGTATTGTTGTTAATAAGTGAAGGAATCTGTTCCCATCTCAAATATACCCAATCCCACATTAGAAGAGAAAAACACAAGGAGTGGTATAACATAGCCCTCTCCAAGAGTATGGTAACAAAGATGCCTAATGGGCTCCCACGAGAACCAAGGACTCAGTCTAATATAAAAATTGATCAAGAAATGAATTAATCAAGTGCATGCATGAGATAACTTGCCCTAAGAGAGGTGCAAATTCAGCCAAATATACCTCGTATGCAGATATGTACTTGGCTCAAATTCACAATTAATTCATTATTGTTTCTGGGGCATATGTATTTGAATTCAAACCGCTTTTGGGTGGATTTGCACTGTCCTTTTGGATGCAAGTGATCATGTGCACACACCCAATTAAGTGATTCCTTGATCAATTTATAAATTTGGGTTTGACCCACTTACTTAGTGCACATGTGAGCCCTATTGGTTTCTTAGTTAACGACACTCTTAGAGAGGTCTTGTACATAAAAACTCTCAAACTTATTCTCTTCCAATGTGAATTTTCAATATTTGAAATACAAAATTTCCCTGGCTCACTTATAACAATTTGACAATAATAACATCTTGAACAAAAAATGCTATACGTAAGTCATTGTCATTTAACCATTTACACTTATTAAACACAAAATCTAAGTAAAAAATAGCCAAAAGATCATATGATTTTTTTAATAGGGTCAATCAGAGGGTCATGGATTAATATCTTCGCAAAAAAGAAAATTAAGCACATAAAAGAATAAAACATAAAATCAAGCTGACTCACTTTGTTAGGGTTATTATCTTGTTTGGCTGCAGGCTTATAGGGACACGCAGGAGGAGCCCTCTCAGGTTTCCTATACTCCCACCCCAACATTCCATAAATTTTTCCCTGAAAATTCATCCATCAATTCATAGTTTAATTAAATCACTAAAAGACCAAATAAATGAGAAAGGAAAATCTCTAGCAGTCTCACTCTCTCACTTACCATGATAAGATCAAAGAGTAGGGGCAGCAAGTTGACAATTGGGACCAAGAAAAGCGGCAATAAACAAGCAATACAAACCTAATAACAAGAATTCAGAAACATTCGATCAAATTTTGATGGAGAAACAAATAACATGAACGGATTGGATCATTTGAGAAATTACGTACCATTTTGAATTGCGAATATGTTGATTTAGGGCGAACGATCTGTTGAGGACTCGACTCGACTCGGCTTTCTATTGAAATTTTCTGCGGTGGTATCTCTTGTTTATAACAGCCCAGTATTGACGTCAAAAAAGAAATGGGATCTTTTTCATAAACTTCCCTAAATTTTTGCAATATTACTTTCGTAACAACTTGAGGTTTCTTAGTGACCAATTACCCCCTTACTATTTCCAAAAATTTTCTTACCGCCGTTATGTTGGATGCAATCGAATAAAGTATAAACCAATGTTTTAAAACCTGGATTGGAAGGTGACTCGGCCAAGTGGCCAGTTTTTGGTTTGAACGGTCCAACCGGTCTGACCAACGACGGAGCATACCAATGACATCAGCAATTATATATATATTCACCTATAACCTCATCTTCTGCTCACCGTCACCTCATCTTCTCTTTCTTGTTTCTTCTTCTCACTTGTCACCTCATGTTCTCTTTCTTCTTCTTCTTCTCCTTCACCTTTTTTATTTCTCTCTTTCTCCCCCGTCATCTTCTCTTTCTGCTTCTCCTTCATTTTTTTTTTCTCTCTTTCTCGTCGTCATCTTCTCTTTCTTCTTCTGCTTCTTCTTCTTCTTCTTCTCCTTCATTTTTATTTTTTCTCTCTCTTCTTCCCCATCATCATCATCATCTTCTTCTTCTTCTTCTTCTTCTCCTTCATTTTTATTCTTTCTCTCATTTCTCCCTGTCATCTTTTTTTTCTTCTTCTTCTCCTTCATCTTTTTTTTTTCTCTCTCTTTCCCCCCGTCCTCTTCTCTTTCGTCAGATTATATTTTGCTATTTTGAAGTTGAAAATGCCAAATGAAGAAAGGGAGAGATGAGGTAAAATGGTTTTAGGGATTTTGGCTAAGGCATATGAAGATAAAATACAATTGTATTCATTAAATGAAAAATTCAACATAAAAGTTAGAATACAAACTCGAAATTGTTGATGCTTGGATTTTGACACCAACGACTTGGCATGTGTAAAATGCTAAAAAGTCACACGTGGGCAGATTATAGTGAATGGGTGAGATATTGTGATAACAGTAGCATGCAAATACGTAAAGTAAATGTGACAAGAAGATTTTTATAGTGGTTCAGAGGCTTAAAGCGAATCCTACATCCACTATGGTTGTTTATACAAATGTTACTTTCTTATCATTACACAAGGTTACAAGAGGTTGCGATTTGCAATCTATGGTTACAAGTGTTTGTGTTATAAGAGAATGTTAAGCCAGTCTCTTTCTAGTAGTGTATCTTTGCTATTTTCTTTGTGAAAATTCGTGTGTGTCTAACCTCTATTTTATGAGGGGGAGCTGCCTATTTATAGCCGTTTTGCTTAAGGTAATGATTACATTTTACAAGTGGTCTAATGTCGTGAAGATCATTCATGTCTTCCCATTCGTTGAGAACTCTTCTGTTATCCTTAAATTAAATAGGGTTTGGACAGGTGTGCGAACCAAATTCACTATGGCACAAATTCTTAAGGCAGTTTGGGTTTTTGACAATTATATTCCTTTTGCCTTTGGAAAAGTGTCAAGCTTTGGATGGTAGAATGGTTTGTTGGATTCTGATTGGTGCTTGATGACATCATCACATGTCAGCCCTTATTTTTAGGCATAACAAAAGCTCCTCAGTTCTTGAGATTCAAAGTTGGATTTTGAGAACTTCATGATTATGCCGCGATCTGAATTGACTGGTCTTGGAAATGTACACCCGATCTGGAAGTTGGGGGCAACCACATTGTTGGAGACGATTTGAGGCTAGTCATTCGAGATTTGAAAGTTGATCGCTATATGTGATCTGAAAGACTTGTCTCCATTCATGAATTGATGGCTGATCGTCGCTTGCGATCTGAGAGCTAGGAGACGATCTGGAGTTGATGGTTTATTGAGAATTGACGATCTGAGCCTGATCGTGCCTCAAGACTTCTGGAATTACTTTGAACTCTGGTCGCTGCCAATGATCTAAAAAACTTGGATTCTTCCATGGCAAAGCTTTTGAACAATCTGAGTTGGTGTTCGCTTTTGGCAATCTTTCCTAATGCCTCTTTTGAATGATCTCTTCAGATGTTTTTTGTCGCATTGACAGCTGGTACAGCAATAAAGTATTCCTTGGGGCGCATTTAATGCGGTTGAGATGATTACACTAGTGATTGCAATTCTTGATGGGAGTTGTCGTTGGTTGATTTCTAGCGAAACGTGGGGGTTACTCTTTCCGTGGATCGATGACACGTGGTTGAGATCAATGATCAGAGATTCATTCCAACCCAATTTTGCTTATAAAAGGCAACTGAAACATCGCCTTTTCACTGTGAAAGCCTAAGTTTGCCCTAAGTTTGAAAAACTTAAGAATTTTTCTTGGAAAAGTTTTGTTTTTCCTCTCCAAAAAATTTAGCTCTTCCATTCTATTGATGTGAACGTTGTTCATCTTCTCCAGAGTACCTTTTTCCAACGATTGTGAGGTAAAAGTCTCTTGCCCTTTTACTCTTTTTTTCTTACTTTTCAAGTGTTTTTACAGTCATGATGGGTTATGGGTATCTGGTAGGATAAGTAGGAAGTGTTTTTTGGGTTATATTCAGTTGAGTCATCAGAAAGTTTTGAAAACCTAGGGTAAAAAAGTCCTGGTGAATCTTTTGAGGAGCTCTTAAGGTTGGTGATAGTATGTCGGTCATAGGTAAACCCTTTGAGTCTTCTTTTAAGTCATCTTATGAGGTAGATTACTTAGGGTTTGAATCCCCCTTGGTTGTCATCCCTTTATAGATGGTAGAAACCGTAGAATACCCAGATGTTTACCAGAGTGGACACCAAGCGCTAAAATGGGGAAGTCTGGTAACAGTGTGTCGTTAGCACTACAAAATTAATAAACCTTACTCCTAATTATTAACCAGTAGATAGCGTGAGTAAAGGTCGATCCCATAGGGAAGTTGGTGAATCTAGCTTCCAACTTTTTAAAATTAAATCCTAGATAACCAAATTGGCCTAAATAACCAAAATATAAGCAGAGGGTTTGTAAAATCAAGGAAAGTAATTAATTACCAAAACAAAATTATGAATGAAAATCAATATAAAAACAACTTCAGTTCTCGGTTCAATCTCATCCTCACAATCAATGTATATTCTCAATTGCAACGCAATCCTAACCTTTCATGGAAGTATCAACCCAGGCAGTAACAAGCTCTACTACTCGAAATTCCCCTTAATTCTAACTAATGAAACATGCTCTTCAATAGTCTCTAACCATTAGACAACCTAGAACAAGCTCTCTAGATTTAATGTAATGGTTGCTTTAAGTTCCAATGAAATAGGTTAATCTAAGCAACAATCTCACAAGCTCGGATTATTAAACTTAGGTATTGTTATTCAAGTAATAAAATAGAAAGTTTATCCACAATCTTCTATTTCTAATTACTACTACGTGATTAGGAAAAGATCGATTATCCCATACAATCTCTAATTCTAGCAATCGATATCAATTTAATCAATCTACCAGGCTTAAAGTAAATTAAACGAATCAAATATCATATTCCATTAAAACAGAATAACATAAATCAAATCCATAGAAGAGTAAGAAATTACATTACTTTGTAATCTCTCACTAGGCAAGTATTCATTGAGTATCCTATAGAGCGAATCCAGAGAATTGCTAGCCTAAAAAGGGTGTTTGTCTAAATTTTTTATCCTTAATCCAGTTATAAAATACTATTACACAATGACTATTTCTCACATATATAAAAATAATAAGAATCATTTTCTAATGAACTGGAAAGCGTGAAGATGTTCTCTAAATATTATTACTACCAAAAATACATACATAAATCCACATTAATTCCTTCACTGAGACAGTGTGTGCAACCTTCTCGCCAGCTTGACGTCTCCCGACTGCTACAATCTAATACCTGCAAAAATAAAGAAAGCAACGGGGTGAGCATAAATGCTCAGTAAGTAAATCAAATATAACTATGCTCTTATTCCGCTGTCCTCGTTTTCGCTGTACTGCTTCTAAATTTCCGCTTGCTTTCTCTCTTTATTCTCAGGCGTACTACTTAGCGGTCTTCTATTTTTCTCAAATCTTTCTAAATCATTCTAGTGATGTGTTATTCTTTATCATTTTATTTCTCTTCTCTGCTAGATTATATCTTTTTGTTTCTTTCTCTACTCAACGAATCACTAAGTTTCCTTGCTATTTGTCATGTTTCTAATTTCTATTCTTTTCTAGCTTATATCTAATTTCTTTTCTATTCTCGTAGGATTCTATTTTCTTTTCTTCTCTATTTTCATAGGCTTCTATTTTCTTTTCTTCTCTATTTTTATGGGTTTCTATTTTCTTTTCTTGGCTAGTCAGACACGCAATAATAAAATAAACTCTTTAATCTATGCATAAATGCATAAAATGCAATGCACATAAAATGTCTGATGCATATGCAAATGATCATATTTGTATTCTTTCTGAATCTTCTTTTCTAATTCTTTCAGAAATTCTTTTCCTTTCTTTCTGAAATTCTTTATATTTTCTATTTCTTATTCTATTTTTCTTTCTTTTTCTCTTTCTGTATTATGTTCTTGTTTGCCTATCGGATTAGGCTGAGGCATGAATTTGGAACCCTGGCCATGTGAGCATACTCTAAAATTCTTTCTGGGTATAGTCCTCATCCACATGCACTTCTAGCGGACTGTATAATTCTGTTTTCTATTTCGAGGCTACTCGCTGATGGCGGCGTGCATGTGGAAACTTCTGCATCTCTGTTGCCACTAACTAACATAGTGAATGCTCACAGGTTTCCCATCGCAACAGCCCTATGAAAACATGATCTGTAAATCTGAAAAATAACTAGCTAGACATTTTCCAATAATTTTAAAATTTCTGAAATACATGTTTTGCTATGTCATGTATTATGTCATGTATTTAAATACTGTCTATGCATGATCCCAAAATATGTGTCTGACTGTAGGATGTATTCTATTAATTCTAAGGCTTCTATTTCTATATTTTTCTGGAAAACCCAAAGTTCTATTCTAATAACACGCTTAATTTAAACATCTTCTATTTTATTCTTTATTTTTAAATTCTATGTATCGTATGTACGTACGCGATTCTATAATTTCTACGTAATTCTTCAATTCTATCATGCTATGTAAAATGTACATGTACACAATTACATTATCTCTCACAAAT